TACCATTTACCAAAAAGACAGACCACTCCTCCGCTCTGCCCCAGACAGCTCCACAAAAGGAGAAATCATCTTGCCACTCACATCTTTAGCTGGGTGAAGGCACCTCCTGAGAGTGACTTGGGGGCCAGGGTGGCTAGTAGGAGCTGGGACTGGGGGACCAGGCTGCTGGTTCAGATCCCAGCTCCCTAATTCTCTCTCTGAGGCTGTTTTTCATCTAAGAAATGAGGCCATAAACAACTAATGTGCAAGTGGGATGAGGCTGTTCATCATGTCACTTGGTGCTCGGCACTTGGAGGTGCCTGTGAGTTCGAGAAACGCAGCATTCCTGTGGCTGGAGAGAGACTCCGAGGCCAGGGGCATACTGGAGGCTGGAGGTAGGTGAGCTAGACGGTTGGTCGGAGCGCCTGTCCTCACCGAGTTCTTGGCCTGACCATCTGCCCTGTGCAGAGCAGGGGAGGCTGAAGCGGTTTCTCTCCCCTGTAGTGGGGTGGTCAGGACTACCTCTGCCCCCAACTCCCTCTGCAATTGCAGCTAGGAGAAAAAGTCCTCTCTAGGGACCTTTGGAGCACTTCCTGAGCATCTAGAGAAGTGGGGACAGGCTGTGGGAACCGAGAATGGGAAGTGCAGTGGCCTGGGGAGAGCTTTGGCCTGGGGGCCTAGACTGTCAGCTTGGAGTCAGCTCTGAGGCTCCTCAACATACAATGGGCTCCCTTTGACTTCAGAGTTCCGGGTGCCAGGAAGCCCTCCTGCCTTTCCAAGGTCCTGCAAGGTAAACATCACTATCCCAGCCCAGTGGTGGGGATATGGGTACTCAGACAGGTTAAGTCACTTGCCTAAGGGCTCCCAGCCAGGATTCAAATTCTAGCTCTCCGACAAGGTGACCTGGGATAAGTCATTTCACCAATGTATTTAGTCTCCCCCATCAACCAGGGGCTCAGATGGAGGGCAGAGGCACAGAATCCACTGTGAGCTGCAAATCCTGGTCTACACAAGAGGAAGCACGTATGGTCAGGCTTTGCAGGAAGCCGGGAGTCACTTTCTTCTTGTCCAGCCAGAGCCAACAACACAGCCCTCTGGTCCCTGGGCAACTTTTCTCCCAGGCACCTTCTCAGTGGTAGCAATTGGGCAGGGGGAGGGCTATGTCTTGGACCTTCCAGGCTGCACTTCGGCCAGCCAAGGGGCTTTCCTACTCCTGTAGGATCTGCGGGGGGCGGGGGGGGGGTGCGTCCTCAGGAAAAGGAACAGGAAGCTCAGCTTCATAATGCAGAGACCAGGCACAGATGGAGGAACAGGCTCCCTCTCTCAAGCCCTCAGGGCAGGAGGGGAGTCGGTGATAATAAGGACAGCCACCCCACACCGTGGTCACCAGGTCCGTGTGGATGCTGTTCCCTGTGGATGCTGTTCCCGTCCCTTTCCTATGAGAATCAACTCATCTGATCCTTATGCGGCACTGTAATTATTATCCCCATTTCACAGAGAAAGAAACTGAGACTCCAAGTTTTCTTCCTTCCTTCCTTCCTTCCTTCCATCCTTCCTTTCTTTCTTTCTTTTTTAACGAACCTGTGCAGGTTGCGGGGAGTTGGTAGCAGGAGTAGCTTCAGAGTCAGGAGTTTGACTCCAAAGCTCCAGCAAGTTGTCTTGTTTCTCATTAGGCAGCTTCCTGGGCTAGATTCCCTTCGCTGATATCTGAAGCTGAGACGTCAACAGTGAGACGGGGCTACACTTCTTGAGGCCCCTTCCGCTGCACCCCTGCCATCTCCGTCTGTGATGAGACCCGGTTCCTGGGTCTTGATGCAAGAGGGCATTATTCGAATAGTGACACGCTGGCTGGCAGGAAAGTCTGGACTGAGAGTCAGATTCAGGCTCAGCCACTGGCAGGCCCGGGGACCTCATGCGAGGTGCGTTTCTCCTTCAGGGCCTTCCTCTTCTCTGCAAAAAGAAAGAGGTTGAACTTGAAGGCCCCTGGCAGATCTGATGGCCACTGAGAAAAGTGAGTTTGGGTAATGTGCCCCAGGCCGAGCCAGTCTGGAGCTGTTGTTACCAAGGCTCACTGCCTGGGCGAGGAGAAGGTGGCCCCAAGCGGGCTCTCCATAAACACCTTAGCGTGAAAGGGGGAGGCAGGTACCAGGCAAAAATTGGAGTGGGGAAGTCTTTCCTGACCCCTCTTGTCTCCAGACAGCCGTGGGCTGCAGAGCAGCCTCTCTCGCCAGCATATTGGAGGGGCGTTGTCAAATCTTCCACCTCACTTCCCAGCCTGGACCCACTGAGAGAGGAGGGTGGGGGCCCCATCTTTCAGTTCTGCTTCCTCCAGTCACGGCTGGTGACACTTATGTGCTGCCCTTCATGTTTAGGTTCCCGCAGCCTGGCTATAAGAGGCAAACCCAGCCAGGGCCCCACCCAAGACTGGAAAGTTCAATCTCTGTGATATCCGGGGTCTAGGTCGAGATGCTATAAATAGTGAGGGCTGATAATGAGTGAAAGGAGAAGCAGTAGCTGGAATGCTTCTCATGGCCTTGCCCGCCTCCCTCCCCGTTTCAACTCCATTTTCTTCTGATTCAGCAGGGACCATTCAGAAAGTTCTCAAACCCCCAGCCCTCAAAGCCAGCTCTTCCCTCACCTCCTCTGAGGAGCCCCCTCTGATTCCTTGCAGCAGGTATCTGTGTCCCACGTAGAGTGGGTGGAATGGCAGCCCCTCCCAACGATATGTCCGCATCAAATCCTTGGAGTCTGTGAACGTGACCTTTTTTGGAAAGTCTTTGCAGCTGTAATTAAGTTAAATATCTTGAAATAAGATAATCCTGGATTATCCAGTAGACCTTAGCTCCAAATGCAGTGTCCTTTTAAGAGAAAGTATTGAGAGGGAGCTGCAGAGGCGGCGACGTGACCACTGGGCCCGAGGCTGGGGTGATCGGGCACCAGGTCCCAAATCAGTTCCGGAAGCTGGGAGAGGCAAGGAAGTTCTCTCCCTCCGAGCCTCAGAGGGACTGTGGCTCTGCCAACACCTTGACCTTGGACTCCTGGCCTCTAGAGCTGTGAATGAATAAGCTTCTCCAGGTTTAAACTACTCAGTTTGTAGAACAGCAAGTGCTTGTATAATGATAAGAAAAAGAAATCTCTACCGGCTGAGGCCACTGTGTGGAACGTGCATGTTCTCCCCACCCTGGGACTCTGGTTTTCTCCCCCAACCCAGGGACAGGCAGGTGAGCTTCATTGGTGTGTCTCAATGTTCCCTCTGTGTGTGTGTGTGTGTGTGTGTGTGTGTGTGTGTGTGTGTGTGTGTGTGTGTGTGTGTGACCCTGTGATGGAAGGGTGTTCTGGATCTTGAGCTGCCAGAACAGACTCCAGGCCCCCTCCACCCTGAACTGAAATAAGTGAGTTGAAAAGTGAACACCAATGATTGTTGACTGTTAGGAGGGTTTGTGGCTTTTACTCAGATGTTTGCAATATTTCTGTGGGCAGAAGTATGCCCTAGGAACTTCACTTTTTCATATCAGTTAGGTTCTGGTCAAACTGATTTCATCAGATATCCTTTCACTTAAAGTTGCAATTTCCAAGAGCCTTTTGAGGACATTAAGTGAGGATCGAGCATGCCTTGTTGCAGGAGGTCTAGGAAGGAACATACCATGGAATCTTAGCAACCTGATATAGGAGTGGGGTGGGGGCATTGGGGCCACACGGATGGGACTTCACGTCAGTTCTGACTATAAAAAGCTGCATATATAGGAAGCCTGCTTAGCCTCACTGAGCCTCAAGTTCCTCATCTGCAAAATGGAGAGAATAATACCCACCTTACATGGCTGGTGTTTTGTTTTAATAGCTTTATTGGAATCTAAGTCACCTATCATACAATTCCCCCACTCAGGGTCCTTTTAGACTTTTCACACTGCATGCAACAATCTCATATCCAATGTTAGAGCATTTTCATCATCCCCCTTAAAAGAAACCCATGCCCATTAGTAGATACTCCCCCATATCCCTCACCAACCCTAGGCAACCACTAATCTACTTTCTGTCTCTGAAGATTTGCCTCTTCTGCAATGGAATCCCACAGCAGGTGGGCTGTTGTTTCTGGCTTGACCCTGCATCTTGTTTTCAAGTTCCATCCATATTGTGCATACATTAATGCCTTCTTCCTATGGTTGAATATTATTTCATTGAATGGATTTACCACATTTTTTAAAAAAAATCTATTCAACCATTGATGGATATGTGAGTTGGTTTCCTTTTTTTGGCTCATATGAACTATGTGTCTATGTATGTTTGTACGCAAGTTTTTGAAAGGACACATCCAGGATTGCTTTAAAGATTAAATTGAAGGTACTTGATATGTCCTTTGATGAGTGATGATGAAGGGTCTGAGAGGAAATCTGGTCCAACTCCTTCAGTTTACAAATTGGGAAACTGAGAGACAGACAGGAATGGAGTCTTGCTGTGGTCACTCAAGGCAGTAGAGCATAGCATTTAAAGGCAGTTCTTGAGTCACACTGCCCAGAACCAAATCCAGTCTTCATGTGGACTTGGGTTGCCTTATGTAAGTCACTTCACCTCTCTGAGCCTCAGGCCTCTCCTGTGTAAAATGAGGATAGTAATAGTATTGACCTTATATTGTTGTTGATAGGAAGATTAAATGTACCAGTTCATGAGTCTGGCACATAGCAGGTGCTCAATAAATCTCAGCTGTTGTCATTCATGACAGCGCCTGATGTGGAACTCAGTTCCCAGCTGTGAAACATCTTGAATCTACACTTCCCCAGTTCCCCCTCTATACCGTGGGAATCTTCCAAGCGTGATTGTAAAGAAGGAAATATGATCTCCTCTCCCCACTGAGTCCTCACTGAGAATGTCAGAGGTGCTGAGCAAGCACCTTCGCTCATTTTCTTTGCCCCCCGTCCCCCTACCCTGGCCCTCACTGAGAAACCCAACTGGGGGTTGTGGTAAGTGCTAACTCTCCACGTGTTTCCAACACCCCCGAGAGATGACCGTGCATGTCTCCCTTCCAGGCAGCGGACAGTGTGCCACCATGGAGCTGGGGAAGCTAGAAGGCGGGTACCTGGACCTTCTCAACAGCAACGCTGACCCCTTGCAGCTTTACCACTTCTATGACCACATGGACCTCTCCGAGGAAGAAGAGCTGGAGATGTTCCCAGGTGGGCTTTCCTCCTTTTGGCCCCTCTGGGTCCCTTGGCACCCCTCAGCCTGCCCTAGAAGCAGTCGGTCACCAAAGGAAACGCTGGCTGCAGACTCCAGTCAGCACCACGGACAGCTCCGGCACCCGGGAGGCTCCCTCCCCATGGGGACGTCCCCCCAGTGCGCCCTGCCTCTCCCTCCTGCCCCGACCAGCCCTCCTGGGTCTTCCCTGCTTCACCCAAGGACTTTCCCTCCCAGAACCCGACACGGACACCATCAACTGCGAACAGTTCAACAAACTGTTGTGTGACATGGACGGTGATGAAGAAACCAGGGATTTTTATGCTAATATCGGTGAGGAAACTCTCCTACTCACACAGAGACGCAGCAGGCCCCTCCTTCAGAAAACACAAGGGGTGTGGGGAGTGAGGACTAGGAGAAGGGAGACTAGCTGGGGAAATAGGCCCCCTCTCAAATGAGCTCCAGTGAGCGCAAAAGCTCACTTTTACATCCTCTGCCTCCAGTTCTGTACCTTTTTCTATTTATTGTTCTTCTTTTCTTTCTTCCCACAAAGTCCATACTGTGCCTCATCTCTCTTATCAAAGTATCCCTGAATCCTAAGTCAAATAGCTCTAGTCTTTGTAATAAATACCATGTGAGAGGCACTTGTAGCAGGCCAGTCCCTGGATGGTATCTCACTGAGTCCTCCCAACAGCAAAGGAAGTAGGTGCTGTTGGTGTCTGTGTTATAGATAAGGAGGTTGGGGGAGCCTCCCTGGAGGCACAAGGGGTTAAGTCTCAGCACTATAAAGCTATCAATAGCTACTGCAGCACAAGTTCAATCCCCAGCCAGGGAGCTGACTCAGACATCTCATGTCTCGCCCACTGTTGCTCTCAGCAGTGTATTTTTGTAGATTCACCTGTTCTGCTCCCCACTCTGTCTCTGGTGAATTCTCTCACCTCCCTGTACCTCTGGCATAAACCTCAGCTCTTGCATGCATAAATAAATAAATCTTTCTAAAAAATAGATAAGGAGGTTGGGGTTTACAGAGATAAGGTAAGGCTATGCTAGAGAGAGTAGGGGGCAGGTCTGAAATGCAAACCTAGTTCTTCCTCATCTCAGCCACAAAAAAGTAAATTTTCTGGTTGGGGAGGTTTGCTAAGGCTTAAGCTATGAGGCTGGTTTGCAGCTTAAATATAAAACAGCTCTAGCTTTCAGACAAGGGCAGAACTCTTTGGAGGAGAAGAGTTTCGGTTGCGTTTTGGTGGGCATGGGATGGCGTAAAAGATTCCTCCTCCACAGTGTCTCCACTCTCTCATACAGATGCTTTGTTGGATTAGAAAAAGATTCCTGTCTTCTGATGGACCAAACCCCCCCCCATTAGAAAGTAACAGCTCCGTTATCAAAGTATCAAAGTGCAGACTGGATTCTTGTTGTCCTTCTTGGCTGGGGACGCTTGTACATTGAACAACCTGCACAACAGTGTTTAGTGGCAACTGCAGAACCACATCGCTCATCAGATCTGTGACCAGCATGAGTGTGGCCCGTCTGTCCCCAGCACAGTAAATCCAGCATCACATACATAAAGAGGATCAGCTACTGTCTGTGTCTCCAAAATTACAGAACTGAGAGACAGCTGGCTTCTTTTCCTTCCTGGGGATTTTGCTTGGGGGAAGCAGACACGTTTGGGACTGAGGGATTTGGCCTCAGTCACAGTAATGAGGGCCTTGTCCATCACTTAGAATTTGGGGGCTTTTTTCCCTGAAGGGCATGGGCAGTAGGAGTTGCCTAAGCAGGTGGAGGGAGAAGCTTCACCCAAGTCTGCTCCTGCAGTCTGTGGGTTTCCTCTGTGCTCTGAGACGGACATGCCTGGCCATGCAATCATGAGGCATTCTGAAACATTATACTGGTTTCTATACGTGTGAAATGGGGATAATAAAACTCCCTTCATGGGATGGTTGTGAGAGTTGAATGAGTTTCTGTGTATGAAGTATTTAGAAAAGGAATCTCAAAAGTAAGCATTCAGTGAGTATTAGGAGCACCACCACTGCCACCATCGTGAGCACCATTATCGACTCTATCATCACCATCACCACTATCACCATAGTGAGAGTGGCATAACTATCTCCCTCACCTCTGCCACTCCATTCCTTAGCTCACAAGCCACCTGGCTCCCCACTGGCTATAAAACCAAGTCCTCACTTTCCCTAGCATGGAACTTCTGTAGTCATCTATCTCTTAGTGCTTCCCAAACATACACCAGTCGTCTTTCCTAACTCTGTCCCTACTACCTGGAAAGCCCTTCATTTTCTACTTAGACTCTGCCCTCACCTTGTAAGACCTGTTCCCAGGAACCCTTCCCCTGGAAAGCCCTCCCTCCTTGCCCCACCACACTATATATGCTCTCTTCTGACTTCCTGACATGATAACTATCTTCCCATTGGCTCCAAGCCATGTTTGGTTTTATAGAATTTACCACCATTATTGAGCACCTCCTGTGTATTGACTACTGTGTTGGGTATTTTATTTTTTTAAAAGATTTATTTATTTATTTATACAAGCACTGGGCACAGTCAGAAGCGCGGGAGGGTAAGAGAATTCACCAGAGCCAGAGCGGGGAGCAGAACAGGCAGAAGGACTGAAGTACACTGCTGAGGGGAGCAGCGGGCGGCAGGAGAGGTCTGCGCGCCATGTGGGACCCTCGCTGGTGGCTGGGGATCGAACCGGTATTGCAGAGGCTACGGGCAGCTTCGCAGCCCAGTGCTCAACCACTGCGCCACCGGGGAGGCCCTGTGTTGGATATTTTAAATGCAGAGCCTCTAATCCTCACCTTCCATCCTGGCTTTTAGGTATTCTTTATTCTTGTTAACAGAAGAGGAAATATCCAGAAAGGAAAAGTAACTGGCCCAAGGTCACACAGCTAGTAGGGCTAGTGGGAGACAGAGCTAGAATTTAAATTCAAACCCATGACAACTCCACCAGCTTTCATTGCACTACTTTGTAGCAACAGATACATCTTTCATGGAGAAATGACATTATTCCTTCAGTTAGCAGCCCCAGGAGTTCAGTGTTCTTTCCTTCATTCATGTATTCAGTAACCATTTATTGAGCCCCCACTGTGTTCCTGGCCTGGAGGGTCACAGCTCTCAGGGTGCCTGGCACAGGATGGACATTCAGGGAGAACTCACTGATTGCTCTTTCCCTGGGCAGCGGCACTGGACCAGTACGTGTTCCAGGACTCCCAGCCGGATGGACTGAGCAAAAACATCTTCAGTAAGTTGGGGATTCTTGGCTCAGCCTGCATTTCCTCCCTGTTCCCTGGAGACCCTTCCACAGGAGGTCAGATCCCTCCCCAACTGGGAGGATAGAGGCTCCCTTTGGGGATCCATTAACTGAGCATGTCGGTGTCTTTGGTTTTTCTCCAAAGTAGAGATAGGACTGGACGAATTGGAAGACGTGATCAGCGAGATGGTGGAACTGCCGGAGGAAGCAGGGCAGAGAAGTCAGAAAAGACGTGAGTGGTCCTCTCCCTGTCCCCCCTATCTCGCTGAAGTCCTGACCCTGCCTGGAATCCCACACCTGTCATGGTTTGGTTGCTCCCCTTGCTAGGTCCTAGCTGCTTGGGCAGTCACCTGCACCTCTGCGAGCCTCTTACGCAGTCTCCCTGCCTCCTTCATCAGTCCTTACCAGGCAGCCAACGTGTCTTTTTTTTTTTAATATTTTATTTTATATAATTCTTACATCATTTTTCACTTTTGCACAATGTATGCATTTTCATTTTCGTTATATTCCCCACACAATTGCACCCCCCTTATTTTGACCTTAGTCCTTCCTCTCCCCTTCCCTTCCCCCACCCTCATAGTGTGTCTCTGGTTTATAGTTGCTTGTTGATTTTGATTTTTACTTTGTATTAATTAATCCCTTATTTAGGTTTTCTAAATTCCTTGTCCCTCATATAGGTTTTCTAGTTTCCTGCTATGAGTGAGACCATCTGGTATTTTTCTTTTTCTTTCTGGCTTATTTCGCTGAGCATGATCCCTTCCAGCGCCATCCATGTTGCTGCAAATGGCATGTGTTTATCTTTTTTGAATGCTGAGTAATATTCCATGGTGTATATGGACCACATCTTCTTGATCCAGTCATCTATTTTTGGGCATTTGGATTGTGTCCAAAGCTAGGCTATTGTAAATAGTGCTGCTATAAACATAGGGGTGCAGGTGCCCTTTGGAACTAATGTTTCTGTGTCCTTTGGGTAAATGCCTAGGAGTGGAATTGCTGGATCATATGGAACGTGTCTTTTAAATGTAAATCAGATCTTTTCACTGTCCTGCTAACCCTCCAATGTATACAAAATAACGTACCGCGAAGCTTATTGATCTAGACCCTTCTGACCCTCCATGCTCCCCACGAGCCACTAAGCTCCAGCCACAAGGGCTTCTCTCCACTCCTGTAACCCACACACTGTCCACCCACCCTGTCCATCTCTGCAACCTTTCCAAGTGAACTGCAGTCTCCATTCTTCTCTCCTCAGGCCCTTGCTAGGGGCCACTTGGAATTTTCTCCTTTGATGATCAAAGCCCTAGCTTGGCACCTGCTGATCTCCAGGGTGCTCCTGCAAAGTAGGAGTCACCACCCCACCTGTTTTACACAGAGACCAAAGGTGCAGAGAGGTCAAGCTATAAAGATGCATAGCAAGGGGTCAGAAGAAGGGGTTTTGCTTATTGTTTATTTTTTAACTCAAACTCCTCTTGTGCCCCACACCCCATGGTCCTGCTTTGGTGCTGTGAAGTGGGGCTGGGGTTCAAGTGGACACGCAATTGGGCAGTAACAGTTTGAGGCAGGGCAGGGAATAGGACCCCAAGGTCACTTCTCTTGGGGTCATATGGCCTGCGAGTGCCCATGAGCCCCCCACCCCGACTTGAACCACACCCCCCCCTCCAGGGGTGACTGACCATGCTGTTCTCTCTGCAGCCTTCCCAGAGGAGCTGCCAGTGGACCCCAAGCACAGGAAGCTCGGTGAGCTGGTGGAGCAGGGGCGGGGCTGCGAGGCGGGGAGCACAGCCTCTCGGGTGCACATGCTACTTTTGAAAACCAAGACCTAGAGAGGTGAAGCCACTTGTCCAAGATCACACAGCTAGGGAGAGGTGCATCTGGGGTGTAAACCAAGACCGCGATTCCATAGCCTGTGCTCTGCAGTTGACAGCTGCTGGGACACTCAGTTTCTTCAAATCCTGTACCCTGCCCCCCGCTTCTGAATCCAGACTCAGAACGGAGGCCCTACCCTGTCATCCCCACCCCAGGAAAGCCCCTCCCAGCACCCACACAAATCTCACCCAGAGATCTCTCTAACATGACCCCCCTCTTCACAGCTGAGACCCCCGCTGTGCCCATGGTGACTGGCACTTTCCTGGTGGGGCCAGTGAGTGATTCCTTGACTACACCTGGTCTGTTCTGCAAGGACTCAGCATCAGGCCAGCCCCCGCTGGAGGAAACCGTGCTGGCGACTGGTATGTTGGAGGCTCAGAGAGGCTGGGTGTCCCCTCCCCAGAGGTGGCTAAGGCAGGGTCAGGAACCGCCCCCAGTCTGTGTCACCCACTGCAATTCCAGCCAGTTGAATGCTCAGAGTCCCTGCCAGCTCAGCCCTTGCCTGAGATCACGCCTCGGTAAGAAACACATCCCTGGGCGGCATAGCAGGGAACCCCCCAATTCAGCATTCACCCGCCACCCCTGTGCAATCACATGTGAACTGAGCACTTCTCTGTGCAGTCACTGGGTTCTGGGGATCCCCCCACTGGCAAGACACACATGGCTGGGGCTCTCAGGCAGCTTGGAGAGCCTTAGAAAGGGAGTCAGAGGTTGAGGAAATAATTGGGAGACAGGAGCACAAGGGAAGGTGCTAGGGGGAGCCCTCCTCACTGTCCTCATCTCTCCCAGGGCCTCCCTCCAGTTCCCTGTTGAGCTGCCTGAATCTCCCTGCCGGACCCATCCAGATCATTCCCACTCTGCCCCAGGGGCTCTGGCAAATCTCAGGGGCTGGGCCAGGAGTGTCCAGTATACTCATCTGCCAAGGTGAGTGTGTCAGGCCCCCCTCCCCCACCCCCTCCTACCTGCCCACTCCTTGACCCTGCTTCTGCTTTCTGTCCCTTTGACAGGTATAGCCCAGGACCTTCCCATGGCCCCCTCCCCAGAACACCCCCCTCTGTCTCCATTTCCCAAAAATCAAAGCCAGAGAGTAGAGCTTCCCCAAGGTGGTCTACATGAGTGACCCACCAAGTGGCTGGGTGACCTCCAAGTGTCCCTCACCCCCACTGAGCCCTTTCTTAGGAAATGATTATATATATATTTTTAAAGATTTATTTATTTATGCATACAAGACCTGGGGTGCAGGCCAGAGATGCGGGGGTGAGAGGATTCACCAGAGACAGAGTGGGGAGCAGAACAGGCAGACTGACTGAAATCCACTGCTGAGGGAAGCAGCGGGAGAGACAGGAGAGGTCTGCCTCAACATGTGGGTTTCTCCCTGATCAACTGGGATCAAACTGGTGCTGCAGAGGCTGTGGATTGCTTCATAGTGCGGTGTTCAACCCCTTGCGCCACCAGGGAGGCCCCGGAAATGATTATATTTTTAAAGCACAGTGTCAATACGTGCTCACTCACAAGCCGAACAATAAGAGTTGCTTGCTGAGGTACTGACTCTGCCTCGCTCGTTTAGTGTACCGCTGTGAACAGCTTGGTGTGCAAACTTGCCCACCTTTCTCAGAATTGCCTTGTTTCCTGGTCAGCAGAATGGTCTCTGCAGACCCACCATACAGAGGGCTTTTGAACTGTCCAAGAAAAGTTACACTTGGACTCTCTGGGATGGGGATGACACAGGCGGATACTTCCTCTCACTTGAGAGCATCCTTGAAGGTTGCATGTCAGATTTCGTGTAATGCGCTGGCTCCCCAGAAGCAAGCGAGCACTCTTGACAGGGAGGAAAAGGAGCACAGAACACCAGCAGGAAGAGTGCTGTAACAGCACCTGCCTTAGGCCCCCTCCAAGCTGGTTGCGTCCATCTCACAGATGGTAAAACCAAGGCTCTAGGAACCTCTCCTCCAAAGCCCTTTCCTCACCTCCATCCTGAAATGTCTCCCCGCGGTTACCTGCTGTTCTGATGCTCTTCTCCCTCCCAATGTAGGTGATATGCCCCAGGCTAGCCAGACACCCCCTGCCAGCAGCCCAGCTGTCCACAGCCTCCCGAAGTCCCCAGACCGGCCGGGCTCCACCAGCCCTTTTGCCCCATCGGCAGCTGACCTCCCTGGCATGCCCGAACCAGCCTTGACCTCCCGTGCAAACGTGACAGGTACTTTATATTTTTAAAGTATAGCTGGTCAAAGAAAGATATCTTTGAGTAGGAGACAGCCTCAGACCCTGCAGCCTCAGCCCCTGCCGGCTCTGCCCTGGGAAGGCTAAGAGGACTGACAGCTCCCAAAGGAGGGGAATCCCTGGGGCGCCGCTCACCTCACTCTGACACCAGCTTTTTCACCTCCAGAGAACGACCTGTCCCCCAGCCAATGCCCTGCGGCTCTCAAGGTCTCCAGCAAGCTTCCAAAATGGCCTGGTAAGTGACGGGGCTGGAGGTGGAAGCCCAAACCCAGCTGCATCTCACACAGTTACTCAACACTATCCGTCCCTTTATTTCCTGGCTCGCTCATTCATTCATTCATTCATTCATGGACTCGTTGGCTTCTGCCACTATTTCAGCATTTCTTCTGTCTTCTAAGTAGCACCGATAGGGGACCTGCCCCGTAGTTAACCCACGGTAGGGGTTGATATCCCATTTGTGAGGCCCAGAGAATGAAAGAGGAAGAGAGGGCTGCTGAGTGGGGCGTAGGGGGGCCACGGGGGGTGGACCTGGAAGTCCTAAATCACTAAGTCCTACTCTAGTCCAGGGACTCTGCTAAGCACACTCAATAGACTGTTAAAGTCACCATAACCCTAGCATATCCCCATCTTACAGATGAGGAAACTGAGGCATCGTGGGGCATAGATTGCTCTAATAAGTGATAGGGCCAGGGTTTGAATGCAGACACATGAGTTCCACATCCCCTCCATGGTAAAGAAGAAAGAGATGTGTGAGGAAGTGCAGGAGTGCAAAGATGCACAGTGACAAGGTCAGCGGAGGAAGGAGTGAGCGTCCGGGTAACTGAAGGAGACAGCTAATGAAGAAGGCAGTCGGTGGAGGCTGTGTGGCAAATGGACGAATGGTGATAGCATCCAGGCTGGCCTCTCTTGGCCCTCCTGCTGGCCAGTCCTGCCTCTAGTATCCCCCTGACCCCACCCCTCGGTCCCCACAGAGAGTGTGGAGAAGTTCTGCCGTGCACTTCGGGACAAGTACGAGGCTGAGCCTGCAGGCCCGGAGGGCATCTTGGTAGAGGTGGACCTGATGAGGGCACGACTGGAGAGGAGCAGCAGCAAGAGCCAGGAGAGGGAGCTGGCCACCCCAGACTGGGCAGAGCGGCAGCTGACCCAAGGGAGGCTGACTGAGGTGCTGCAGGCTGCTAGCGACCGCCGGCGGCCTCGTGAGACAAAGGTGATCGCTGTGCTGGGCAAGGCAGGACACGGGAAGAGCCACTGGGCCCGGGCTGTGGGCCGGGCATGGGCCCGTGGCCAGCTGCCGCAGTACGACTTCATCTTCTCCTTCCCCTGCCACTGCCTGGAGCGCCCAGGGGACACCTACCGCCTGCAGGATCTGCTGTCCATTCTGGGCCCACAGCCACTGCCAGTGGATGACCAGGTCTTCGGCCACATCTTGAGGAGGTCGGATCGCGTCCTGCTCATCCTGGATGCTTTCGAAGAGCTGGAGAATCCAGACGGACTTTTGCACAGCTCTTGCGGACCCCCGTCAGCTGAGCCCCGCTCTCTTCGGGGGCTGCTGGCGGGCCTCTTCCAGCGCAAGCTGCTGCGGGGCTGCACCCTGCTGCTCACGGCCCGGCCCCGGGGCCGCCTGGCCCAGAGCCTGAGCAAGGCTGATGCCCTGTTTGAGATGGTGGGCTTCTCACCCGAGCAGGCCGAGGCCTACGTAGCGCACTACTTTGAGCTCTCAGGAGCCACGGAACACAGAGACAAGACCTTGGAGCTCCTCCGGGGACAGCCTTTTCTGCTCGGTCACAGCCACAGCCCCACTTTGTGCCGGGCGGTATGCCAGCTCTCCGAGGCCCTCCTGGAGCTGCAAAAGGAGGCCGAGCTGCCCTCCACGCTCACAGGACTCTTCGTGGGCCTAGTGGGCCCCGCAGCCCACGACAGTCCCCCGGGCGCCCTGGTGGCACTGGCCAAGCTGGCCTGGGAGCTGGGCCGCCAGCATCGCAGCATCCTGTGCGAGGACCAGCTGTGCTCGGCGGAGGTGAAGGCCTGGGCTGTGGCCAAAGGCTTGCTGCTGCCGGCCCCTGGGTCCCCAGAGACTGAGCTGGCCTTCCCCAGCTTCCTCCTGCAATGCTTCTTGGGGGCTGTGTGGCTGGCTTTGAGCAACGAGGTCAAGGACAAGGAACTACCGCAGTATTTGGCTTTGACTCCACGGAAGAAGAGGCCTTATGACAACTGGTTGGAGGGCTCGCCTCGCTTTTTGGCAGGTCTGGTCTTCCAGCCTCTTGCTCACGGCCTGGGGGCCCTGGCAGGACCATCAGTGGGCACCTTGGCAAAGAGGAAGCAGAAAGTGCTCGCCAGGTATCTGAAGCGGCTGCAGCCAGGGATGCTGCGGGTGGGGCGGCTTCTGGAGTTGCTGCACTGTGCCCACGAGGCCTCAGACCCTGGGATTTGGAAGCACGTGGTGCAGGGGCTCCCCACCCGCCTCTCCTTCCTGGGAACCCGGCTCACACCTCCCGACATCCACGTGCTGAGCAGCGCCTTGCAGGCGGCGGCCCACGACTTCTCCCTAGACCTCCGCAGCACTGGCATTGACCCCTCTGGACTGGGGAGCCTCGTGGGACTCAGCTGTGTCACCCGTTTCAGGTGAGGGCAGGGCATGGGGAGGGAGCTTCTTTACCATGAGCGTCTGCTGTGTCAGGTGCGCCTCTGTGGGGTTTCATTTAGTGGACAGTGCGGTCAGGGCTTTCCTCTTTTTTAAGATGAGGAAGCAGAGGCTCGGAGAGCAACAGCAGTTCACCCGGGGCCACACAGCCAGTGAGGGGCAGCATCATTCTTTTGACCAACATTTGACGATCTGCCATGTGTAGACACTAGGCCGCATCTAGAACCCAAGACTGATCTTGGATCCAATTACTTTTCTTCTGTCTGTCCTGGAAGCAAGCCACCGTTCTCTCGTGGTTAGATTAAATTCACAGCCTCCCCTGGTCTCCCTGCCTTCATTCTCTCCTCTTCTACTTCACTTTATATTCACCCACCAGAGCGATTTCCCCAGAATTTGAATATGACCATATTCCACCCTGCTGGCAACCCTTCAGAGATTGTCCCCCTATTACTCGCAGGATCAAGTCTAAATTCCTTGATTTGGCTCTTTTAAGTTGTGTGTTCTGCACTATCACTTCAGTCTAATCTCCAGCGAATCTCTAGCACCTCTTCCCTAAACATACTTTACCAAAACTGTAAGATCCTACACCATTGTAGCAGGTCAGCCAAGAATTTGGCACTGAGCTTCCTGGTAACCAAAGCAAGAAGGGAAACCCAGTGGGAGAGTGGAGGAAAAGGAAGACTTGATAAGGGTTGTAGTGGTGGTGGGAGTATTTCTGGAGGAGGTAGGGGGTAAACTGATGAAGGAAAGCATGTGAATGGTAGGAGGTCCCTTCACGGAGCTGCCCTCCACATGGTCTAGCCCAGCTACCATGCCTGGGTCTGAGGCCCTTCCTCCACAGGGCCGCCTTGAGTGATACCGTGGGGCTCTGGGAATCCCTGCGACAGCGAGGTGAGACTGAACTACTCCAGACAGCGGAGGAGAAGTTCACCATTGAGCCTTTCAAGGCCAAGTCCATGAAGGATGTGGAAGATCTAGGCAACCTCGTGCAGATCCAGAGGTGAGAGGGAGAGGGCTTGGGAGGTGGTCCAGGCCATGCAGATTGAGGACGTGCAGGACCTAATATCAAATTTTCCACCAGTACTTCTAGTGCCTCCTCTCCCAGAGGAGACATCTACCCTGTGCAGTGGCCACCCAGAATCCTCACTGCAGTCACTACCCAGGCAGAGTGCCCAGGATGCATCATTTGTCCTATTCAAAACTTACCAACAGCTTGCACCCAATTCTTCTTTGCTAAGCAGGGAGACACTCTCTGCTGCTGGAGTTAATGAGCTGCCCTCTGCATTTAATGATGGAAGTGATGCCTGCGGCCACCTTGCAAGGCAGCCAGACCCAGTATTGTCCCCATTTTATTGATGATGGAATGCTGAAGTCCAGAGGACAGAGGGCACTTGACCACAGAGCAAGTGAACTGTCTTTCACTCACTCCTTCATCACACATGAGCACCTACTGTGTGCTGTCTGGGATCACATAGGTAGATGCCTACTCCGAGGCTCCTTCCCATGACACGCACAGCTGTGCTTTAATGACATGCCAGCCCCCTGAGGTTTTTCTTTTTAACATGGGAGTTGCAATAAGCCCATAGCAGGCAGTGCTTCCAGGGAATACTGGGCACTGGGACACATCAGTCAGGACTCAGCCCCAGAAGAGCCTGCGGCCCTCTAAACAGAGTCTGTTCTCTCTAGGATACGAAGTTCCTCAGAGGACACTGCTGGGGATCTCCCTGCTGTCCGGGACCTCAAGAGGCTGGAGTTTGCGTAAGCAAGGGGGTGGGCAATCTTGGGTCCCCATGTGGTCTCTTCTCCAGTATCAGCTGAGCTTATGCCAACTGGGTGGAGATAGGTCCCCAGAATCATTCTTTCCCTCCTGCCCCATCACTCTGGAAACCAGCTTCAGGCTGGCACTGCTAACTGACCCACTTACTGGTTAGCGTGGTCATTTGCATCCATTCGTTCAATAGGTGAGAGTTTACAACAGTTCACAGGCTCCTGTAAATAGGCAGTTGCTACCAGCAGGAAATGCAAGGGTTATGACAGACACACTTGGGGGAGGTCAAGGGGGACTTCCTGGAGGAGGTGACTGAAGCACTGACATTTAATGAAGGAGTAAGAACAAACCAGATGGAGTGGTCATATGGGATAGCAAGAGCAGAGGAGAGGAGAAGGAGAAAGACCTTCCAGGTGGTTTAGTTTGACCAGGGGGCAGGAAAATGTAACCCCCCCGCCCCATGGCCTTCCTTAGGAAGGTGCTACCAGGACCATCTGAGTCTTTTCCCTGCTGTGCCCTGGGCTACGTACACAGTGCCCCTTGTGCCAGAGCTTGCTCACTGTCAAGGTCAGGGGTGGACCCTCTAGTGGGACACAGGCCCTGGCCAACACTACCCTCTAGACCCCAGGGGTCCATCCCAATTCCAGGTCAGGTTTTCAGCCCTGGCTGCACAGCATGTGGGTGCTCAGACCCCACCCCAACTCAGTGCCTCAGACTCAGGAATTTTCCCCCACTTTGAAGGCTTCCCAGGAGCTTTCGATGCACAGCTGGAGTGGTCAGACATGCGGGCTCACCAGGGAACATTCTGATTTTAGCTCTGAGAGTCTTGTATTCCAGAAGATCCCTCAGTCCCCAGTAAACCAGGTTGGTTGGTCACCCTGTGTGTGGCAGGGGCTAGTGCCCGCATTAGACAGGGCAGCCAGGGTCACAGACATGAAGACTTGGCAAGTTTTTGGGTCCAGTTGTTTCTTGGTCACTGCAGACAGGCAGCCACAGGCACATGGCCAGTCCTGCTGGATCTGTGCTGGGGAACCAGCATTTCCATCATGGCCCTCGGCTCCCATCGCCCCAATGCTGTCACGGGGGGCCTAGAGCTTGTAAGCTGTTCATCCAGAGTCATTTAAGTCAGCCGAGCCTGACTTGTTCTAACAAAGAAAAAGCCAAATTCATGTTTGGGTTTTATTAGGAATCTAAAGTCATCAAGCGATTAGGAAGGAATTTGTAGCCACTTATACAGTATGTTCAGTGCATTTTGCAAGTCACCTCACTCATTTCAGGAGTGTCTCCAGGGGAAAGCCATTATCTTCTCCATTTTGCAGATGAGGAAACTTGAGGCCTAGTGAGGTTAAGTCACTTGCCCCAGGCCCCAGCTGGTTACCCACAAGCTGTCTGTTCCTCTGATCATACCCCCAGCACCCCCTTCTGCCCCCACAACCTAGTAGAAGCCAAGCATTTCTTGTGAAGAGTGAATCAGACTGGTGCAGAGGTAAAAGTGTTACTGAAAAGGGGAAATATATGAAAACAATCACCAAAGACCCCTTCTGGCTTTGAATTATTTTCAGCTTAAAAAGCCCCTAGTTAGAGGGTCGGAACTATGCTCTGGGGAACAGCAGCCACAGGGCGGAACAGCCCAGAACCAGACCAGCCACCTGGAGGCTGGAAGCCCCAAAAAAGTTCTAAGGAAGGAAAGAAAGGACTATTTTGGTTGTGTGCCAGGAAGCCACTGTGTCAGCTACCCCGCAGACCCCATTGGCCTGCAGGCTGGGCTGCTCTGCCCTCTGATACCCTATAAGCATGCTGCCGGGGTACAGGGCCCTCCCTGCCCCAGCCTCCGCTGATCTCTTCACCCCCACCTCCTAACTCTCCCCCCCCACCGCCCCCACCCCATGTCTGGTTTGCAATCTGGCTGGACGCAATCTGGCCTCTGGCCTTTGAGCCTTCTACCTCGATGCTTTTCCCCAGGTATCTGCATAGCCCACGCCCTCACTTCCTTCTGGTTTTTACTGAGTGAGGGTTTTTTGACCTCCTGCTGTAAAAGTAGAATGCTGCCCCTCACCCCTGAACTATCCCTCCGTATCACAACTTATCTCCTACACTGGATGTTAATAGATTTCTTTCATATCTGTCTTGCCCACTGGAATATTGGCGCCATGAAGGCAAGGGGTTTTGTCTGGTGCGTTCATCCTGTCTCTGCGGCAGGCTGTGGGTCTGGCACACGTTAGACCGATACTCAGTGCGTGAATTCCCTAATTCTTCTGGCAACCCGATAAGCCAGTACATTCGGGGAGCCTGAGACTCAGAGAGGAGGGTGTTTGCCCAAAGACCCCACAGCAGTGAAGGGGCAGAGCCCAGATTCAAATCAGAGTTCAGGCTTTCATCTGCGGACCTTTTGTTGAGGCCAGAGGTGCCTAGACGTGGGGTTTCAAAGCCCAAGAATGTTCTGGAATGAATTTGAGTGATGATGTGCAGCTGCCATTTTTTTTTTTTTTTTAAGTATTCGGTCCCTTTAATAGCTTTGTTTTGGGGGTGACTCCCCTCCCCTGTGGGTAGGCTTGGGAAGAGCAGGCACAGTCCTCGATGGGGAGTCTCAGCGACCTTGAGGGGTACCATCCACATGCAGGCAGTAGTTGGGGCCTCGGCAGTGCCTCTCGGGGTGCCAGGGATCCCTGTTGCCCCTCAAGTCCCTGTGAGCCAAGGGCTGCAGGGGCCGGCCGTTACCGCTGAGACTCTGGAAGATCTGGGATGGAGGATTCTGGCTCAGGAGTCTCAGGGAGTGCATCTGGAGGGAAGTGATAGTGAGGGCCCGGTCAATGAGGATCCAGGTGACGGTCTCTGAGCAGGGCGGGGTGCTGAGAGAGCCTGATAGGTGATGAAGCCAAAGGATTCGGGGAACAGGAGCGCCAGGCTCAGGTCTTGAAGAAAGTAGGCATCATTCTTATAAGAGATGCAGGTGATGGTGTCACGGTTAAGGAGGTGACTGAGGAATGGGTTTGAGCTGCCAGCGACATTGACAAAGAGGCCGAGAATAGCCAGGCCACTGGGGCTCCGGGAAGTGGTGCTGAAGTTCCCCTAGAGTTCTTGGTTGAAATGGATGAGCTGCACCTCAGCAGAGAAACCCTGGTGGTTGATCTGGTGCTCAGAGCCAGCCCCATCACGTGCTCCAAATAGTAGCCGCAGTTCACTGAGTCGGTGGCTATAAAGGAGGGGACCCCCAGACACATTGACCACAGGCCGGGAGGCAGGCAGGAAGGAGACATGGTGACCAGTGTTGTACAGGGTTCCCCGGAGCTTTTCTCCCCCAGTGCTGAGCCTCAGTGGGGGCAGAAAGGGGTCATAAAGGACCCTCTTCAGCTCTACATCCACGGGGCTCTGCCACTTCCCCACAGCACACAGACTCCAGGCTGCATTCACCAGGCCCCAGAAGGGCAGCCCTGGCACAAAGTTTTCCTGGAGATTATCCTTGTAGCTCCACCAGTCCTCAGGGTCAGGTGCTGGTCCAATGTGAGCTGCCGCCCCCATTGCAGCCCAGAGGACCAGCCCTCCGGGGACGCTCAAACAAACTGCACCCCCATCCCCTGGGGGCCTCTAAAGATCCCTTCCTGAAGCCCTGCACCCCTTGTCACCACCCCTCAGCTCCTCTCTCCCCTCTTGGTGGGACCCTGTCCCTCTAGGACGGCCAGCCTTGCTCTCCTCCCCAGGGAGCCCCTGTTCCCTCAATACTCTGGAAGCTGGGAGCAGCTGCCATCTTTTAAGTTTTATCAAGTATGTATATTCAAACAAGCGAAAGTAACCACAGCTGGCACCAAAACGTTACTGACAAATGAACATTTTAATATAAAAAAAGGGCCATAGGGCATCATTCCAAAGCAAAGGCAGTTGTTCACAGTGAGGATTTTTAACTATAGTTTTTAAACAAAGCAAAACAGACTTCCCTTGTCTTTCTCCTTCCCTCAAAGTCTGGTCTAAATGTCAGTCCAGGCTGTGCGACCTTGTGTGAGTTTGTTAACGGCTCTGTGCCCCAGTTTCACCTCTGTAAAGGAAAACATGAAGCACCCTTAGCTCAGTGCCATGGAGCGGGTTAAATGAGATCTGAGTGCAGGGCCAGGCCTGTGCCTGGCACATCAGTCTCAAGGCTGGGCCACATGTCACTGCTGTGCAAGGAAATAGTGACCTGTCTCTCCTGGGACCCACACTTGGGAGCCGCTTTTCCAGACCGGGGCAGGAGAAGGTGGAGGAAGACGTCAGAAGGTGTGAAGACTAGCTCCTCCAGCTGGGAACCCAGCTGGCAGCCCCGCTGGCTATTTAGGGGCTTTTGTCAACTCTCCCCAGAATAGAAGGGATGGGGGTCCAACTGGGGGGCTGGAGAAAAGAAAGAAGTGGGAAGGACAGAAAGGGGAGACATGGACTGTGCCCTGTCTCCAGCCTACCCCAGGACCAAATTGAGGTCCTTGTCTATTTGGGGTCTCACTCCTGCTTTTTGCCTCCTAGGCTGGGCCCCATCTTGGGCCCCCAGGCTTTCCCCAAGCTGGTGAGGATACTTGAGGCCTTTTCCGCCCTTCAGCATCTGGAGTGAGTATAGCCCCTGGAACCCTCCCTCCGTCTCAGGTTCTGACACCACATGATCGATGTTCCAAGTGGTTCAGGAAGTTGCCCAAATTCACAGGGCTCCAAAGAAACAAAACGGAAACAATTCAGGTCCTTTGGGGTTTCCAGCCTTGTCCCCTGGCTGGCCAGTGGGCACCCCTCCCCCGTGCAGCAGGAGGGTAGGGGTGGGAGGGGGACAGGTGGCCTCTGTGGTGCTAACTGGCGACTTCCGTTTGGTTCCACCCACAGCCTGGACTCGCTGAGTGAGAACAAGATCGGGGACGAGGGTGTCGCCCTGCTCGCAGCCACCTTCCCGCAGCTGAAGGCCCTGGAGACACTCAAGTGAGTGGGTGGGCTGGGCCCGCCCTTGCTGCTGGCCTTGGTCCTTGAGGTCGAGCGGCCCTTCATTATACTTGCCCGCTCACTATCCATTTACTCTTTCACCCATTCAGTCACCCATCCCGTCAACAAATTGACCCATCCATCCAGTCCTTCATTCACGTACCCAAACATTTCTTTCTTTAATCACCCACTCAACCCACCGCTTTTTAATGTAATCAATGAATATTTACGGCTCAGCATTCCAGGCCCTGGAGACCCAGTTTTAAACAGAACCCCTGACGTCAGGTGTCCACCAGGGGGAGACATGCTAAAGGAACAAGGCGATCCCCAGCTGTAAAGTTTACGGTGGTGAAAGTAGACAAAGTTTAGTGACAAAACTAGCTGAGGGGGGCGGGAGGGGGTGAGTGAAATGGGAGAGATAGATCAAGATTTATTGGCAAAACATTATTATCAAAGTAGCAAATTTTGGTTATTTTCAGGAGCTGGGGAGGGGGCGTCTGCCTTTGGTGTATCCAGGGGTGGAAGGAGGCTTTGGGGAGCAGAAGAGCGATTTTTTTACTGAGCCCAGAGGTGTCATCCACAGGGGGTGTCAAAAATCTACCCACACTCCACTTCATAGCCGTGATGGGAACAGCCACAGAATTCACCAGAGGTCTCCTGGGGATCTACTGGTAGCAGGACACAGAGTCTTCTCTAGTAATTTACTAATTTACTAGTTCTAGGTAACACTGTGATAAGCTCAATTTCCTCCCTCCTTCTCCAATGCCCTCACTGAAATATTTATTGAGCACCTCAATAAATTGAAATATTTATTGAGCACCAGAGCAGTGCTTGGCTTTGCTCTAGGCACAGGGACACAGTGATGGACAGACCAGGCCTCTTCCCTGGCAGACCTCACAGCCATTTAACAAATAACGCGAACTCTTAGCGAAGTGGTAGGCTGCAAGTGGCTCAGAGGAGAAAGAGAATGCTCCGAGAACATTCACCAGGTGGTGGGAGAGTGACTCTGTCTGCACCCTCAGGCATCAGCCCCATGGCCAGAGGTGTCACGTGTCCTGTGCATATGGGTCAGCGGGTCTGCCTCTCGCCACCTGTCACCCACAGCTCTCACCGGGGCCACTGGCACGTGTTTGCTGCCCCGAGAGGGTGTGAGCTGTCTCAGCTCTGCAGGAGTGCAGGGAGGAGGGAAGGGTGGGTGCTGATGGGGAAGGAAGGGGGTGTAATCTGGTCGAGCCCTCCTCTCCCTGTGACCCTGCAGCCTGTCCCAGAACAGCATCACGGACGTTGGCGCCTGCAAGCTCGCCGAGGCCCTGCCCTCGCTGGCCGCCTCCCTCCTCAGGCTGAGGTGAGTGCCCTCCCTCCTGGTCAGGGTCAGCAGGCAGGCTGGGGAGAGAAGAGAGCGCCCTGGGGCCGTAGCAGTCACTGCAGGCCATTCTGTGTCTGTGCCTCACCTCTCCAGGGGCGAAGGGGGGCATGGACCTGATATGCAATATGAGCCCAGCCCCCTGGGGTGGGCAGTGCCACCACCCAAGCAAGAGGACTGACCGCAGGGTCTGGTGAAAGAGTCTCTCTCATCCTGAGTCCTTCCCTCCTCTGGGAAATGGGTGCCATCCCAATGGCCCATCGAAAGCGCTTGTCCTTGGCTCTGGGGTGTAGTAAATATTGGTTCTCCCCGCCCCAGCTCCCCAAGGCTCACCCCTGTTCTGGAGTCTGGGGGTGATCTCTAAACTGGAGCCTTGTCTGGCTGGTCACTCGCACCAGTCAGTGCCTACACTGCCGCCTTCTGGTGAACCTTGGCATAGCACTTCTCGCTTCGCTTCCAGTCAGTCCTGGCTTCCAGGGTCAGAAGATGAAAACCAGAGCTTGGACCAGAGCCCCAGTGGCTCAACACCGCAAGTTCCTCTTTCACCAGGCTGGCAGAAACCTCCCCCTCCCTCCCTAGCTCTTGCTCACCAGCCCAAGTCTCATTCTCAGGAGAGATGGCATTTAGTTCCTCTAGTTAATGAGGTACCCATTTCTTCATCTTCCCAGCTGTGGTCACTGTGCGCAGCTGTGTGGGTTGTGTCCTGTGCAACATATACGATGTGATCAGCACTCCCTGCACGTGTGCAGGCCATCAAATAGTCTCTAACACCAGCCATGGGCGGGCACCTTACTAGGAACTAGAAGCAGCTGTGACCAGCTCAGTTGCTTGAGGGCCGCTGTGGCTGCCCGCAGTGTCTGAGGGATAGCAGCAAAGGATCAGGAAGGCTGGAGCAGGCATGCAGGGGGCCTTCGGGGCCAGGAAGGGGCTTTGGGGTTTTTTTCATCATGAATGGAGAAGCAGGTGAGCGTATGGAAGTGACACTTGATCTGATCCACTTATTAAGAAACCTCACACCGTGTGGAATCTAGGATGCTAGTCATTGCAAAACAGCATCAAGAGGAAGAAACACCAATTACACTGTGACAGCCCACTGACTGTCACATGTGCCCTGAGCTCAGCGATACTCAAATGTAAACATGGCCATCTTAGCCTCAATGAAATATGGGAAGATCGCCTGCTGGTGGGGGAGAGAGGACCCCCTGGGTTCTGAGAGCCACCCTGGGAACAGATCGCAAAGCCCCCACCTGGCTCCTGTCCCGGCACCAGCTGGCCAGTGACATCAGGGATCCTAGAGTTTGGCCTGAATCCATTTTGCTGCAGCGTGGACCTGCTGTTGTACATGCGCCCTCAGCGTAGCCCTGAGGCAGCGTCATGGCCCTGAAATTAAAACCGTGGCAGCACCTGGCTTGTTAAAAGGACGCTGGCGGGTGAGCGTACAGCCCAAGCCAGCACCCGCGGCCCAGCGTGCTGTTTACGACGCTGCTGGCGGTGGCTGTGAATACCCCGCAGAGACCCCGCGGGCCTGTGACTCCGGGTTCTTCTCTCCCAGCTGCAGTGCTGGTCACACCCTCTGCAGTAACTAACCCTCCCACTCCCCAGGAGGTAATGACAGCTCTAGCTGACACGAGTTCATTCCACGGGGGATATTTATGAGCATGAAGTAACTCCTTCCTCCCCACAATGACTCGATGGTGCCCATTTCATGGAGCAGCCGACTGACTCAGAGCTGAGGGACTTGCCAGAGGTCACACAGGCAGCCAGCCACAGGGCTGGGATTTGAACTTGGGAACTCTCTGATCTCTGTTTTGGCAGCTTGTACAACAACAGCATCTGCGATGCGGGCGCCGAGAGCCTGGCCCAAGTACTTCCAGACATGGTGACCCTCCGGGTGCTGGAGTGAGTGGCGGCCAGGGCAGCGGGCGGCAGTCCCAGGCTTGGGGCACCAGGGGTCTGCTGGCAGCAGGGAAGGGTGGGGCTTTGCTTGTCGTCAAGAGCGTGCGGGCGGCCTCGGGCTGGGGCTGGACAGTCTGAGGACTGGTTTCTCTCTCCAGTGTCCAGTATAACAAGTTCACCGCTGTGGGGGCCCAGCAGCTCGCCGCCAGCCTGAAAAAGTGTCCTCAGGTGGAGACGCTGGCGTAAGTCTCTCCCACAACTGGGGTTGGCGGGGGAGGCCCCAGCCCTCCAGGTGTGGGGTTCAGTGTGTGAGCCCTGGGTTAAAATTCTGCTCTGCTCTTCGCCAATGTGCCACCTCAGATAAGCTGGTGTGTTACTATCTGACCTCGGGTTCTTAGTCTGTAAAATGGGATGACACCATTTGCCCCCAAGCAGTTTTGTGAGATTTCAATCAGGCAAGATGTATAAAGCACTTAGGATAGTGTCTGGTGCATGACAACACTCAGTGGAGGTTGAGTGATCTGAAACCACTTGCAGGCAACCATTTTTGACCTTCAAAGCTGGTGATTTCATGTTTCAGGCTTATTTATTGCATCACCTTCCTGTCTGATGTCCAGCACCAGGGCATCATATTCTTCAAAGCACTTTCATCTACAGAATCTCTCGTGTCTTCTAAGAGGGTTAGGGTGGATCTTTGAGCTTCCATTTTATGGATGAGGAGGCACAGAGAGGTTAGCTGGCTCTTTTGAGGTCACACAGCAAAAGTCATCAGCAGAACCAGGTCTAAAGAGAGGAGTCTTGGTTTTCTTGGCTTCTGGTATCCCCACAGCCCCACTCTGGTCTGGTCCTGCCAGTGGGAAGTCCTCAGGTTCTAGGCTGGGTAGGAGGAGGAATTTGGGGGCAGCTGTGGTCAGGCCTCCAGGCACTATGTCCTCTGACCCGGCCTCTGTCCCCTGCCCTCACCGCAGGATGTGGACGCCCACCATCCCGTTTGGGGTACAGGAGCACCTGCAGCAGCAGGACTCACGGATAAGCCTGCGATGATCCCAGCTGTGCCAGGACAAGGTAGCTGGGGGACTCGGGAGGAAAGAACTGCAGGGACCTCTGGGGTTCATGTCCCAGTGAAGGCGGACTCCATAAAAAGTGGGTGAGGGCAGCAGGTGGGATCTGGGGGCCAACCCAGAGCAATCACTATCTGGGGTCTCCCGCTGTCTCCACACTGAGGTAGGCCCTGAGGGACCTTGCTGTACTCGGGGTTAGAGACCAGGGGAAAGACAGGGTGGGGTCTGCGGCCCACCCCAGCCCTCAGTTTTGGGAAGCCCTTCCTTCAGGAACTTCCCAGCCATCTCTGCTACTGTCTTAGCGTCTTGGGGGTTTGATGTCCTGGCTGGTCCTCATGGGACCATGCTCCCCAAGACCCTGAACGTCACTCCCCAAACCCTCTGCCCCATCTGTGTTCCCACACTCCCTGAGCTGGACAACATCTCCATATATCAAGCTACCTGCCCCCCCTACCCAAGAAAATTTCCTGACTTGCCTCCTTTCCTGACTACCCACAGCATGTTCTCGGAGGACACTGACCACGCTGGACCTTGAGCAGGTTATTTGTGGACACAACTCTTCTCGGGCCATATCCAGCGACCCTGGTGTCCTGACGCCCAGTCCTGCTGCCTCAGGCTGAACCTCTGCCTGGCGGTGAAAAGTCCTCAGCCTGCTGCACGGACAGACCCAGGCCTGTCCCAGGCTCCTGTGGGGCCGAGATGGCGGCTGGCCCTGGGGATGGGCAGGTACCCGGTGTACCCAGCACCCTGAGGTGCTTCCTGTGGGACACTCCAGCGGGGGCTGGAGATGCCAGCTGCTCCCAGCCCAGGCACCTGCCAGCCTGGGGAGACACCCCCACATACTGCCCTCCCTGCTGGACGTGCCAACATCCTGAGATACCAGAGAGCACCCCAGGCCTGCTCATTTTCCAGGCAGAGACAGGCTGCTCTGTCTGCGGGACTCACTGTTTTGCACTGACTTGGTCTGCAAGGCCAAAGCTGGGCCTGGCCGACACTGGACCTTGGCTAGAAAACTGCTGACGCACACTAAAGGGATGGGGTGGCGTCCCGTCTGCCCCGGGGCCCCCCTCCTGTGTCCTTTCTCACTACGCCATGAAGGCTCACTTCATCTCAAGGGCAGGCCCGTGTTTGAGTTTTTACCATGATTGCCATTTCGGAGGACCCTGCCGTTCTGGTTATCTGATGCATCACAACCTCCCCACCAAACGGAGTGGCCTCATCCAGCACGCGTGCACCTGGCGCTGAGTGGGGAAGCGCGCCTCCGCCCCGCGCGTCCCTGCCGATGCCCCCAGGGTGCTGGCCTGGTTCCTTGAAGGAAGGAATGAGGAAGGAATCGTCAGAGGGGCCTCTCCAGAGGGCTGGCTGGGGCTTCGTCACAGCATGGCGGCCGGCCAGGTTTGAAGTGATCAAAGAGAGGGAGAGAGATGTCGTATGTTTGTTACAACACAGCCTCAGAAGTCACACAGCATTATTTCTGCCATCTTCCTTGGCTAGTTTGACAGCCCTCTACTCCCACCACATCTACACGGGCACACACGCACATGCACACACACACACACAGACACAAGCCCTGCCTTTTTGGAAAGGATTTTCTGCATGGTTTCCTCAGTAGAAAATTCATTATTTGGGGATCAGCAAGATTGAGGCCCTGGAGGTCTCATGTGGGGCTGTTTCCTCTACTGCCACCGGGCGCCCCACCCTGCAGCCGAGTCTCAGAGCTGGCAGCCGCCTTGGCCTTGGCGGCCTTTAGGGCCTTGGCGGCGTTGCTGTCTACGCAGCTGCCAGCTCGGCTGCTGCTTTACACTGGGCCTGGCCTACAACTTGGAAGCCCTGATCTGGGACAACTTCACTTTCTCCTGGGGCCAGCAGGAGCCGTCTGTGCAGCTCAAGGGAGCCAGCCCCGATGTCAGCCCCAAGTTCTCCTCTTTCCAGCAAATGGGAGTTGGGGGTGGGGAGTGTCAGGGGTCCAGACCAGCAGCCTGCTGGCAGTCCTTGCAGAAAGGGGGTGCCTTCTGCCTTGTCCTAGCTGCCGAGGGCGTTGGGTGCTGTGACTGTGGGTTTTAAATGGCTGGGGAATTGTCCTCAGGGTGTCCTGCATTTATGTGTTTGTGGAGCCCATGGGGTGAACACCAGGTCAGCCAGCCTTTGAAGCAGACATCTACTGTGCCATCAGCCCAGTGGGGCTGGCACAAGGGCACCCACTGCTGTGTCTGTATAGAGATGACAAAATGAGGTCAGATGCCAGGAGAGGCTATGATCTTCCTAGTGATGGCTGTGATGACAGTTGCCCCTTATCAGTGAGCTGACGCCTGTGAAGTGCCTCCCCGAGTGCACGGACATAGGACATGCTCCGTAAGGATTTGCAGGATTGTCACTGTGGACTCGGTGCTCAGCCCCTCCTGCCCAAGGGGGACCCCCTGGGGTCAGTGGCACAGACTCAAGAGCTGGGCCACCGGGTTCCACACCAGCTCACCACTTACTGTGTCAATTACTTCTCTGTGCCTTAGTCTCCCCAGATATAAAATGGGCAAAATCACAGTGCCCTCTTCATGGGGTTATGTGGAGGGCCAATGAGATAACACCCCGAGAAGAGGTACCTGCATGGGCTCAATATCTTAGCATTCCTTGTCATGTTGACTGTGTCTCTGCCTGGAATGTTCTTCCCAGGTATCCAAATGGCCAACTTCCTGTCCTTTATGACAGCTCCTTGGGAGGTCCACCAGACCACCCTATGAAACTCAGACACCCCACATGCCCCCTGCTCTCCAACCCTGTCACAGTTTATCCTTTTCACACTTACTTTTTGTGTGTCTGTGCTCTAGGGAGTGGTGCCCAGGAGAGCGAGGAACTTATCTGCTGTGTTCACTGCTGTGCTCTCTTGCACATCATAAGTGCTCAATAAATGCCTGTGGCATGAATGAATAATCCTCACAACTTTGCTTTATTCATTCCACAAATAGGTTTGGAGTACACAGTGGTTGCTGAGATGTGTGGGCCAACCTTGTGTTTTAGTAAATGTGACAACCTCTCTGGCAGGGCTGGCAGGGAGGTTGGGCAGTGTGTGCACTGCACAAAGACACGTGAACAAGGCGGGTGGGGGGCAGGAATCTGCAATCTAGCCTGGGCCCTGCTTGCCAGGCTGAGTCCTAGTGCAGCCATGTCAGCCCAGAGGGCACCACCGCCAGGAGCACAGCCATCCTAGCCAGTGGGTAAATTACTGTCCCCACTTCAGAGGTGACTTGCCCAAGGCCACACCCCTTTAAATGGTCTCTCAAGATGCAAATTCAACTTATTTCAAGGGTCTCTCTGGGGGCAGACATGTGCTGGAATAGCCCCCAGCCCAGGTGTTGCTTGCAGAAGTGAAGCTCAGAGGAGTCCGGGCTCCTGGTGCCCCGAGTCACGGTGTGTGTTGACAGCCAGATGTCACATTCATGGATTTCAAGTCCACGCAATTTCCCCTCTGACCTGTCCCACAGCAATGTCTCCCTTCTCATGCCCACCTTTTTTCCTTGGGCCTCTTGAATGTCTTCTGTTCACCTTTTTCAGCACCCCCTTTCTAGAACACCGGGACACAAGTGGTCGGGACCTTCCTCCTGTGTATTCCCGCGCCTGCTCCTTGCCTGGAGGCTGGAGTCAAGTCTTCGCTGTGAGTGCAGGGGCTTTGAGACATCAAATGACTGCAAACTGCAGAGAATTTACTGCCTTTTTTTTCCCCACAAAACCACAAGTGGACACAATTTTGCTCATTTGTTCCTCCCCTCATTGCCCTCACCTGTTGTGAAGGACCACCACGTGCCCAGCACAGGGGATACCACACCCTGCCTTCTCCGTGATTCAGGCCCTCCAGGCCTGGCCACCACACCCCAAGGCTGGCCCTGGCTCGTCAGGCCAGCAGGCACTAGGAGGAGGCTAATCCGGGCCATACACACCAGCCCAGCTTGGGGAGACTCTCCAGACCCCGCTGGATCCCAGCTGGGGCAGCCCTGTCTCTCTGCCTTTGTCAACCAAGGGGTTCGGCTTAAAGACACACCTTTACTGAACCTCAAAATAAAAAAAAAAAGGCCAGGCTCCAGCAGTTGGAGTTGCATACGCTTTAATTGAAAGAGAAGTCAGCCTCCTAAGTATTGCTTTTATAGGTTGTTGAAATCAAGTATTCACACCACTCACATTTTTCAAAAAGTTCTTCTGGCAGGGGAGCACTTTGGTGCTTCCTGAACGTGATGGATCAGTTCTGGCAACTTGATGAAGAGCAGCAGCTTGAAATGCAGGCATCAAAACCCTCCTCTCGCCCCCGGCACGTTCCTCAGCTGCTTTTCCTCCTGAGTCACTCCCTGACACACCGGGTGGCATCTGAGACCAGCCTTGGGCCAAACCCGGCCAGGCCTAAGCTCCCCTGGCAGTAGACAGAGCTGGGAGTGACTTCTGCGTGTGTGTCCTCGGTTTGAAGTGTCCTCTCCAAAGGTGAAGTGGAGGAAGCAGGTGCGGTCGGGGGTGCAGAGCAGGGAGGCAAACTCTGGCTGGGTTCCTGTAAACATCCATTGCCACTGCCAAGGTCATGAGCAAAGGCAAGGCCATTTGGGCGACGCTGCAGGCAGGTGAGGTCTTCGGACTCCCTGGCAGGGGCAGAAGCCTGTCTGACCTCGGCACTCAGGTCCGGACAGAAACTTTTCTGTTGGCACGAAGCTTTCGAGGAGTGCTGGCCTAACAGGGGAGAAGGGATGTTACCAGCAGGGAAGCACTGGGCCGCCCCCCACCCCCTAGGTAGAGGCCCCATCCCCCAGGCCTCCAGGAGTCTTGGGCAGAGCAGGGAAGTCTCCTTCCATCTCTTGCATTTGGGGAACCCACAGAAGCCCCAGTATCAGGCTGGTGGTGTTTTCCTATGCATTTTTTATTAAAAATCCTTTTTAATGAATTTGCCCAATTTCTAGGGCCCCTGGCCTGGAGAACCACTGCAACTTCCCAGGGCGAGGCAGGGCCTTATGGAGGTCCTGGTGCTTGAGGCAGGAGAGCCCACCAGGGGTCACCTTGTCTGCTGGCTAACTTGAGCCTCCGGGCAGCTGAGCAAACTGGGTGGCGGGACAGGGCTGGGCACAGCTGGGCACCTCAGACCTGCAGAAAATGCCCGGCAGCCTATAGGAAACTGTGGCCACCGCCATGCTGCTCAGTGGCCCCACTCGGCTTACCTGACAGGACCGGCCTCGTGCCCACTGCCCGGCCCCGGTGGGCCTCACTTCCCATTCCCTTCTCTCTGTGCCCAGCCAGAGCCAGGTGGCGCAGCACCTCACATCCCCATGTCCACTGTCCTCACAGCCTGCCACTTCCTACCCCAGTTCTGGGTTTCACCTCTGTCAGCTCAGACAATTCCTTCTGCAAATGTCATCGGGCGTCAAATAAAACAGGAGAAGCACACAGCAGGTAGTGTTCATCAGTGGCCTGACATTTGGGGCAGGACAAGTCTCTGAGGTGGGGGACTCTTCTGGGCCTGGCAGCATCTTTGGTCCCTGTCCACTAAGTGCCAGTCACTGTGACAAGTCAAAATGCCCCCTCATCCTATTCCAAGGGTCACAAAAGGGGCAGCAGCTACTTCCACGTAAACCCAAGCATCTCTCCATTTTACAGGCCAAGAAACTGAGGTCCAAAGAAGCCAAATGACCTGCTTAGAGGCACATCCGTGGCAGGCTGAGCTGGCGCTGGACTACTGACCACCCTGGGGATGTTCACAAGTGGGCAGCTGCCACTTCCTGCACTTTTACCACAAGCCTCACCCTGTCCCCTGCCTCTTTGCCCAAAGCCCTTATCTGCTTCCTGAGGCTGCCTGGCGCCCAGCTGCAGATGCAGGCAGAGCTCAGATCACGCCATGTGCGTACCCCCCCAGCCCCTGTGCCAGCCAGAAAGGGGGTAGATCAAGACCCCAGTTCCCTTGCCCTGTAGTCTATTCTCCATCTACACCAGCCCCCAGGGATTCTGAGCAGGCCTGAGCCCAGGCTGCAGTGGTGATTAGCTCCAGGACACACCCCTTCCCTGCCTTACCACCCGACTCCCCACATGTTGTTGCGGGGAACACCTCCCACGTGAACCACCTGCACTTGAATCTTCATCCCAGGCTCTGCTCCGTGGAGAGTTGCTCCTGGGATGGAACACTACCCAGGTCACTTCCTCAACCACCTAACCACCCAGGTGTTACACATCATTATGATTCCATTTCACAGATGAAGAAACCAAGGTTCAGAGAGGGTGAATAACTTGTCTGAGGGGGCTCAGTTCTCCAGGGCATTGTCCCACTGGAGATCTGAAACACCACCTGTGTGCGCCTGTGTGCCAGGTACAGCCCCTGCCTCCTGGTACAAAATCTAGGGAGGATTTCAGCTCAAAGGAACACACCTGGCGCTAGGGAGCCTGGAGAAGCCTATGCAGGAAGGAAGGCCGCTCCAGGTGGGGGCGGGCATAGCAGGTCTTGGATTCCCGGGGAGTTTGGTTGGGCTGGGGGAGGGACTAGCAGGCAGGCGGTGGGAAGACAGAGAATGGCTGAACCAGTTAAGCTTCTTGCACCCTCTGCCAGATTCACCTCCTAGAGGCCAGGCGAGCATGTCCACCCACTGCTCAGAGAACTTCCTGGCTCCCACGGGTGGCACCAACAAGCGCTCCCGTCCCCGGCCCCAAGCAGCCTCCCCACGGACTTGGCAGGTGAGAGGGGATGCAGGGCAGCAGTCAGAGCATCTGACAGCTCGCCCCTAGCAAGGAGTTCACGGGTTCCCCTCCCTCTAAGAGTCCACTTCTACTGACTTCCCTCCCCCCAGGAGCCCCCCGGGGATTCCTGTGGGGTCAGCAGGGGTGCTCCTGAGAGCAGAGGTGTCCAGGAACCTGGGAGGGCATTATGTACTCAGATTCACCCCTCCTGGGCTCACTGCCTCCACCCGCAAGGCCTGGAGGTTGTTAAAGTCCATTTTAGTCTTGTGTGGCTGGGGTGTGAGACACCAAGGACACGCGCCTCTCCCGAGTCCTGTGACTACAAAGGAAAGCGAGTCCCAGAAAAGGTTGGTCTGGCGGCGCTGCTCTGCCGGTGCTCATCTGCCCTCTGAGCAGGCTCCAGCTGGAGCTCACCGCCGCCTTCCGCTGTCATTGCCTGCAGGGTCACCTCCTATTTATGGCACATGATACCAGTTTTCCATTTATGATGGCAACAGAAATTTCTCTCTTTTCAAGACATTAATTTCACATTAAAAAGTGAGGCAGCTTAAAGAAAACAATGACCAATGAGAGTTCAGGGAGAAAAAAAAGTTGATGATGAAGGGACCCAGGAGGCCGATGACCCGCCCTAAGTCACATAGCAAGTTGAAGACACAGACGTGGCCACAGGTCCCTCTAGCCAGAGCTGAAGGATGTCTTGGGGTCTCTCCACTGTGCGACCCACAGTCACAGTGGGTCAACCCCTTGTTCCTTTGGAAAGTGTGGCTGCTCAGCAGCCGCTCACCCCCATGAGAAGCTCGACGGCAGCTGACGCTTCTCACCATTTTATGCTCACCTTGTTCTATTTGCTGTAACTCATGTCTTAGCTCACTCATTGCTCAAAACAACCCCCGGAGGTGGAGCCAAGCCAGACCATCAGCCCTGCATCTCAGGTGGGGCTCGGAGAGGTTAAATACGTTGTGCAAGGCCACAGAGCTCACAAATGGTGGGGACGGGATTTGAACCTCCGTGGTCTGACCCCAGAGTCTTCAATCCACTTGGACTCTGAGACTCTGCTCCTTCTCCACGGCATCAGAAACCCGGGCTGAAATGACCCCTTGAACGGCAGCTTAGAGAATTCACGGCAGCGGCTTCTCCAGCTTCTAACCTCACGAGAACACAATAGGCAAGTCATTAGCCATCAGCCTTTCCCTCTTTTTTCTGACGCCGTGTGTGTTCGGGGCCTGCTTCCTCTGCTGAAACAGGGACAATGACGCCTATCTCCTGGGCTGAGGAGTGGATGAGACTTGTGTCGGGCGTCATACACGGCTTCCCCTCTTCTCTAGCACTCATCCCAGCTAGAAACCACAGCAGGCCGGGGCCTCTTCAGTCCTGGGGGGGCTCCCCAAAGGAACAGCACTCTTGCTCCTCCAAAGACCATGTCTCCTGCAAACCCATTACTTAGACTGTGCAGCAGAGGCCTCCGCCCTGTGCTGCTGATGGGTGCCTGGCTGGGTCCTTGTCCCTGATGGAAGTCCGCGTCCTGGAGAAACAAGAATGGGTTTCGCAAGCCTGGATTCAGATTGATCAGATGCGGGTCTGATGAAGATTCTCGGTCCAGAACATGCCTCCACCGGTCCGTGCCAGGGGCCACGCAAGGCTGGATGTCTTCATGAGTCTTGCCAAGTCCAGGAACTGTCTGGACTATTATTTACTTAGTCTTTTAAATGAACATCTTTTTTTAACTCCAATTTTTTAAAAGGAACTTTTACGTCAGTAGCATGAATATAAAACAGCATTATTTGTCATAAACAGAAGGCAATGCTAAAAATAAATTGAAAATGAAATTATTACCTCTAGCCAGGCAAGGCACCCCCTCCCCCACCCCTCTCACCCCCAAATTAAGCCTAGACCTAGTGTCTGGTCTGAAGGGAAACGGAGCACACACCCAGAGGTGGCAGCGTCGCAGGCCGCTCTTACTCAGCTTCTGCGCCCACGGCCTCCTGGGGACACCAATGACAGAGGACCCTGACTCAGGGGCATACTGGGGGTGTGGAAAGGAGGTCCAACTTGTCACCCCATAGCTGGGTAGCTGGGGTGAGTCACTGAAACCTCCCCAGCCTCAGTTTCCCTCCCTGTATAATGGAGCTAATGAGCCTAGGGCCGCATGCCCCAGGGGTGACGCCAGGGAAAGCCCTGGTGATGTGGGAGGGGCAGTTAACCACCCAGGCAAGTCCTGCCAGGAAGGAATCCCTGGAATGAAGCATTCCCTGGGGGCATGTGGGTGGGGGGTACTGAAACTGGAACAGCACCCCCAGGCAGGGGATGGCAGCCTGAGGGCTTGGGCCTCACAGACCTTGCCACTGAGTTGTCACCGGCCTTGCTCAATTCAAAGGCTGGTTACATGGAGATCAGTCCTTGGTCTTTGGGCCCAAGAAGAAGGGGGCCTGAGGAAAGGGAAGGGCTTCCGGGGTCCAAGCTCCTCTGGGTGTGACATGCGTGTCCTGCACTTTGTCGTCTACTGTAACCAGCCCTTCCGCAGGGGCTCTGTCCTCCCCCCTTCACAGAGAAGTCACTGGGGAGGCGCTTACTCATCTGAGGTAGAGCTGCGATTTAAACCCAAGTCCATCTTGACCACCAAGCCTCCAAGCAGCAGGTCTTGGGGCACGCGGAGATGGACTTCAATGACACCGCGTCACCACAGCGAGCAAGTGGGTTTTCTGTGAGACCTGACGATGGCCTGACGGTCGCCTCCCTTGTTAACCAAGAGCAGGCCAGAGGCCCGTGCCCACCCTGGCTTGACTATCTGGTCAGAAATTAATGGCTTTGGCACTTGATACTTTGACCCACGCCAAGGGATACTGCTTTTCTTCTCAGTGACACAGACATTCTTTTAAATATAAATTCACAGGAAAAAAAAGATGTTAAAAAACCCCAAAGCATCCAAGCTAGTGAACTTAGTCACAAACTACAAGCTGCAAGAGGAGAGAGTAACTTAATGGTGTGGAGACCTGGCAGACCTGCCCAAGTCGAGG